TGGTGCCTTATTGGCTCCAATCTGAAACACCGCCTTACGAATCTCTTCCTTCCCCACCGGTGCACACAAACCATTATTGACCTCCTCCGATACCAGACTGGGTAAACCCTCCAGGATACTCGTGTCACATTTTCTGTTATTGCTGGTGAAGAGGATGCGATAGTAGTATGTGGCATGGTCAATCAGTTCCTGAGCATTATCAATCCACAGCCCTCCTGCATCCTTAAGCTTGAGGATGCGATTTCTGTTCTTCCTTCTGATGGTACTGGCGTGGAAGAAGCCTGAGTTCTGATCCCCTTCCTGTAGCCAAGAGATCCTAGATCTCTGGGCCCAGAATCTCTCTTTTGATAACCAGATGGATTCCAGTTCTCGTTGGAGATTCCTTTCCTCAGTAGACCTATCCGGGGAACCGCTAGTACCTTGTAACATTTGTAGTCTCTGTCTAATCTCTTTTTCTCTCTTCAATTTGGTAAACCTGTCTTTCTTTGCCCAACTCTATAACTCATTCTGGCAGTCTGTAAGCATAGTGTTGATATTCCCACCTCTCATCCATCGATCAGTAACAATTTGACAACACTCTTCGCTTTCCCTCCACCTTTTATCGAATCTGAAGGGAGTGCGGTGAGCTTTACTTGCTGGATGAAGGTCAATCCTTATTGGACAGTGATCCCACAAAGTCTTCGTGGTATACCATGGCCGCTTCAAATTTGGTTCTCCAAGAGGTCGAGCAAAGCGCTCGATCGAGCCTTTCTCTAATCAAGTCGTCCCCTTGCTGTTTATTGCTCCAAGTAAACACTTGGCCAGAAAAACCAAGGTCCACCAATGCATTCCTAGTCATGAAATACTTAAACGGAGAGACATTTTCATTCTTTAAAGGGCATCTTCCCTGCTTCTCAAAAGGAAAGACAGCAACGTTGAGGTCCCCAACCACAAGCCAAATATCTTCCTAACTCGTCCTTAGGGTCGTAAGTCGTTCCAAAAGTGTCGTCTCTCTACCGCCGTGGTAGGAGCATGTACAAAAGGGCAGAAGAAACTAACCCCATTCTTACTAATACTAGTGTCCATGAATGACTTACAAGAGTCTAAAACACAAATATCAACATCATCTTTCCACCATAGGGAAAGACCACTACCTTCTCTCTCTGGACCAACATACTCTGAGTGATCAAATTTCATAATTATTTTCCTTTCTTCCATAAACGAATCCTCCTTCCTTGTCTCCATCAGAAAGAGAATCGAGGGGCCAAATTGGTGACACAACCTGCCGCAGTAACTCCTTGTAAGGGGTTGGCCGAACCCCCTACAATTCCAGCTGAGAACTCTCATTCGAGATGAGGCGGCTTGAGGCTTGCCGCTGTCGCCCTCAGAGTGGTAGATTCCCCTTCTCCGGATTGGCATCCTTCCGCCGTGATTTCCGCCAAGCTTTTCCTCCTGGTGATGTGTTTCCTTCTCTGATAAGTTCTCTTATTTTCCCCTGGGACAAAAGACAAAGATCCAAAAGAAATGTCAGAGGGTGTTTCCTGTTGCTGGGATGAGACCGCGGGGATGACTCTGTTCTCAGGCTTTCTTTTCTTTTCCGGTCTGGGCGGGTCCTCATCTGTTGATATTTAAATGGGCTCTGTCGCCAAGCTTTGGGACTGGGTCTGGTTGCTGCTGCCTTGGTTGATGATGTCTTGGATAAGGGGGGCCACCAATGCTGGGCCTCGGGGGGCTTCGGTTAGATTGAATGATGGGCTGGCCAGGGAGAGGGATTGGCCCATTTCAAACAGGCCCACCATCTTTTCTCTATTTGCTTCTTTCTCCCCTAGGTCGAGACTTCGCTGCATTGCTCTAGTCGTTGCCTCCATCTCCATCTCCAAAAAAGCAGTCTGCAGGAATGGTGTGGGGGTGCCGCCTTCTCCTCTGTAGACCCAGTCTGGCTCCTTTCCACTGCTTGGCATAATGGCGTACCCAAGTGGGTTGCTGTAGGGTCCCAGTATTGGGAGTCCCGCTAGGGTGATCTGGGAGGATTCGCCTCGATTGCCGCGGATTTGCTGTGTCACCGGGATTGGGTTTGTCAGGTGTCTGGAACTCGCCAGCTTTTCCCTGAACGACGCCGAGGGAGTATTCGCCGGTGAGTCGTGGCCAGCTCTGAGTGCATCGTTGTACACTTCCGACGGGTCGGTACTAAGTCCCCTCCTTCTGTGATCTTCCCTTTCCAGTCAGTTATGAATTAAATGGCCTAGCCTCCCACAAAAGTAACATAGATCCATTATCCTTTCATACTTGAAACTGACCCATATGGAGCGCTCCCCGACCGGGTACTCGAATCCAATTGGGATGGGGTCCTCGATGCTCACCTCCACCTTGGCTCTGATAAACTTCAGCCAGCCCCATGAAATCGAAGTTCGACTGGTCGATGCAGTGGAATTGAGGAAATATAAACGCCGCGACCGCCTTGACTGCTTCCTCATCTTTGAGGGATTAGGGGAGGTCATGCATCTGGACCCATAGGGTGACTGTGGGTATGTCTATAGTTTCTGCCTTTTGTTCACCATCCCATTTCTTCAGTGCAACTAGGGTGTTGCTTAAGTTCCATGGTCTGGCCTCCCAGACAATCTCTTTGCTTAGCTGACTGGAATGAGTAGACAAAGAGGTTCCCAGCTTCTTTTTTGGCTTGTACTTCTCCATAGGCTCTCCACTTGTTGAATGCCCGCATTTCTTGCTTTTGGTAGGTTGATGCTGGCATCGGTGATCCACTTCCCCAGAAGCATGGCCATACCGCTGCCTCGAGCACCAACAACAGTTGGTCTCACATTCAGGACGAGGTGACTCTTCTCCCTTCTCAGGCTCTTGTAGTGTGTTTCCATTTTTGGTTGACTGGGTTTTTTCCTTTTGCAGGGTATATGAGTTGACCTTTGGGTATCTGGGGATCTCTTGTAGGAGTTTTTTGTGCCGTTAATGGAAGAGTGTGTAGTTGCTCTCCTAGCTCGTTTCACTTCCCTTAAATAGGCCCTTAAGGTCCTCATTCGCAGATTGGTCTGACTCATTGGCTCACGAATATCTCCTCTCATTAATTGCCAACTGCTTCCTGCGTCTCCGATCGACCTTCCTGCCGTGTTTTCTTTTAATTGCCATTTATTGCCATAGCTATCGGCCGTGCTATCGCTTCCACTGATGCTCTCTCCTCCTATTTGTACTTTTCGTGTAGATCTCGGCGGACAGCTTTGCTCAGTGCATTTACTTCCTTCCTTGTTTCTTTCTGGGCATTTATGCTCTTGGATACTCATGATTGCTGGGCAGTATTCCCCTGTCTCTATCTCAGGTGCTCTGCGGCAGTAAATTCTTTGTGTCGCTCTGAGTGGCCGAGATCTACACATAGGGGTTGCATTAATTCTTGCTTCCTCAACCTTCCAATCCTCAAAGTAATTTCCTCCCCTGGTGCTGGTGATAGATTTACTCTGTTGCTTTCTGATTGACCTCTGCTCAGGTGGTTTGGGCGGTGGATTGATGGTTCCCCTGAGATCTTCCCCTGAGATGGTGATTCCCCCACTGGTTGTAGGCCTGTCTACACAAGACCTTCTTCAATGCTTCGTATCCCTTCCTTAACTGCGTTGTGATCTTCTTTTGCCCTCTTTTGAGTTTTGCAGGCAACTGATTTGTGAATATTGAGGGCTCCGTCGATGGTAGCTGTAGAAGCTCTTGAGAACAGAGCTGGAGAGGAACAAATTAGAGAGAGAGAGAGAGAGAGAGAGAGGAAGAGCCATTTTGTTCTTAGTCGAGCCTATCTTGCTGCAAAAAATTGCTATCTAGGTATATATACAGTTATATTCATCCCTAGCATAAACAGAATTCGATTTCTTTACCTTTTTTATGGTTATGATTTCTTTCCTTCCAATAATTAAAGAAGCAATATTTTCATTTCAAACATTTCATGGTGGAAAGACATGATAAAAGCCGTTGATATATTGTAGGTTGCCAATTTAATAACGTCAACCCATATTTCATCAAATTTGAAATGAGATATTGTTAAAATTCTACTTTGATGGCAATGATGGTTAAAATTTGCAATATTTTACCATTAAGGTAAAATACAGAAGAAGAGAAAAGAATTTGGTAATTAGGGGACCATGGTAATTGCCAAATCAATTAAGCCTAAATTCTATTAACAAGTGGACAAAATATCAAAAACCAACCGACCAAACTAATACAACAACCAAATTATCCAAACTAAAGTTCAATTGATTTGGTTAATTGGTTAACCGGATTAACCAATATAACATTACATTAACATTAGGCGAGAAAAAATATCCCAATAAATAGGGGTGGACATTGGGTGGGTCGGGTGGATTTTGACCATAAAATGTACCCACCCGCGCTTAAACAGATTGATAATTTTTAACCCACCACCCACCCACATTTAGTCTCGGGTTGGTTTGGGCGAATGGTGAATGAAACGGGTGGGTTATCGGGTTGGGTTGACATGATAATCGGTGGAAAGAGTTATCGGGCAGAAATAAGAAGATGGAATAGGGGGAAAAATCTCGAATAAGTTCTTAAATTTGATAAAAATTCTATTATGGAGGAATTTATACATATGGAGATATCAAGTGCAGGGAACTAAGAAAAAATCATTTAACTAAGGAAATAGAGGTGATCTAGGCACAAGAGTTAGAGGAAGAAATAAATGGAAGAAGAGGGGACCTTTGAAAGATTGGTTTTGAGGTTCAATCCCCAGTAGTAGCCCTAGTTTTCGTCTAACATCTCCACTCTCCAATGCCAACGACTTTGTTCTTTTTGCTGTTGGGTTGAGCGGGTCACCCGCGCACCCAACCACCACTCGATGGATGGCTCCCAGCGCAACCCGTCACCCACCCGCATACCCACCCACATAACGAAATTAAGGTCAAATGCGGATGGGTCGGCCCAAACCCGCGGGTGATTCGCTCGCATGCCCAGTCCTACCAATAATGCATCAATCCGTAATTTATATAATGAATAAATCGTAACGATTACCACATAGTTAACCTTTGACGGTTATACTTGGTCGTCGATCGGGATGTGTAGTTAGAATCGAGTCAAGTTTTTGGCGCTGTTGCCGGGGACCTTATGGTTTGTTATCCAGAAAAAGTCGCTTAGTGTTACTCTAGCGTTTTCTATCTCGCCTTTATGTTTTGTGTTTCATTTGTGTTTTTCGTTTTCCACTCTTCGTCTTGAAGGGTGGTTTGTGTGCGTTTGATTTTCCTTTTAGTGTTTTTGTGTTTGTAGGTATTGGATCATGGATCCTTATGATTTCACCCAAGTGTGGGGGTATCCACCACAACCCGAGGGTGGTTACCATGGAACTTCATGGGACAATCAAAGTGGGGGAAGTCAAGGGTCTGGGTTCTACTACCAACCTCCCTTCCAAGAAGAGCAACCATGCTCATGGGGACACCAAGAAGCTTCCCCATATGAAGAAGGTTTCCCTCCACAACTCGAGGTGAAATCCAAGTTGGAGTTGGCATGGAGGAGTTCATGGGACAAACCTCAAGACCATGTCCCACTCCACAGTTGGAGCCAAAGAGCGAATTAGAGCTCATGGTGGAGCGATTTGCTTGGGGCACTAATGAAGGGTGATCTAGCATGAATCTCCGAAGTGCCAACCCTTTCGACTCAACCTTTATTCGGGAATCGGAGAGCTCCTTTGACGTACGGAGAGGCTAGGAGGGCTTGTCGAGCAAACATGTGCACAACTTGCTCACAATCGCCTCCTACCATTGGAGGAAAGAAAGGAAGTCGAAGAGGCGAGCCATGAAAATTTTGGAAGAATGAGCTCCAACATGGATTACCATCCCCTCTTCTCGGTTTGACACTAGAAGAGAAGGTGGCAAGAGTTGGTGCATGCCATCGCCTCTCACAATTGGAAGAAGAAGTGGAGATTGAAGGGGAGGTCAATGATGACTACGTGGAACAAGTACTCATCCAGGACAAAGTCCCGTGGTGAGGATGATCAAGAGTGTCTCATTGGCGACTCTCATCACTTTCCCCTTCACGAGACCAACCTTGAAGACCCATTCACGAGGGAAGAGGAGCAAGAGAATGCATGGAAAATTTCCCTCCAAACCGTGCTTGAAGCCATGAATGGGAAGTTTAGAGAAGAGCGAGAAGAAGAGAGAATGAAGTTTGTGGAAAAGGAAGTGAAATTTGAAGAAAGGGAAGATCTTGATTGTTCCCAAGGGAAGGAACACATTGAAGAAGAAGGAAGGGAGGTTGAAGAAGAAGAAGATGCAAGTGAGGTCCAAGATGTGAACGAGGTCGAGGTGGATGAATCATCCACGAGTTACAAGAGCTACCAATGCAGTCCACTTGACCTCGATGTGCTTTTGGAGAAGGACCCGTTTGCGGCTCTTTGCCAATCCAAGGCCAAACTATCGGCGATCCCTCTTGGTGGATGCGATGGAAGTAAATCAATGAAATCCTACATGGTATGGGGAAAATAGAAGGAAGAAGAAGGACAGAAGGAGAGGTCTCGTGGGTGGAGCCTCAAAGCCACTCAAGTTCACGAGCCCTCAATCATGGATTCGTCCAAAGCTCATGACTTGAGACACCACCTCACCAACGAGAACCTCAACTTCAAGGAGGTTTTTGGGTGGACCAAAACTTGAGGAGCAACCGTCCGGCTCACGACATCAAAGAAGCGCTTGGTGAGAGGGAGCCCAACACCAACATTCACCCCTATCCGGTAACATTGTTCTACCTCCTTATTTTATGCCACAATGTCGAGATAGTGTGTATGTATGTGTGGGGTGGGGGGGGGGGATAGTCTATTATGCTTGTATGTATGAATGATTGGTGTGATTTTGAATGCTTGGAGCCTAGTTGTATACCCAAATTTTTATAATTTGAGGGCTCCAAGCATAGCAACTTCTGCATTTGCATGATCGTAGTGGCACCTTGTGGTCATTTGTTATGAATCTCGTGGTTATTAGCATTGTATATGGATGATTTGCTTGTGATTATGTGCAACCTCTTATGATGATTGAAACTTGTATTAGGTTTGTGCATTGGTTCAGTTCTCATGTGTTTGTGAACCGATAGATGTTTTGAATCGCTTACTTGCTTTTCACAGTTGGCTATGCATCGAGTTTAGGGAGTTAGAGCGAATGATTGAGCACCTAGGTGGCCATGTGAGACTTGTGTCATTCGTTTCAATCTTGTGCGATAGATCCCCCCTTTACATGATGTGTAGCATTCACGTTGTTGCTAGCGAGGAAGATGGAGGCATAGGATTAGCCCACAACCCAAAAGTTGACCGACCCGATCATATTATCCCTTAGTCAACCCTTTTGAGTTGTGTGTCTAAGGGTCGTACTCGTGTTAGGTAGTTCACGATATTTGAGCTTGATTGATTTAGATAGCGTGACCCTTCTTTCTTCGTGTCTACACCGTATCAAGTCACCCTTGTATTTGGAAACCTCATTCATACCATTTGAGTTTAAATGAGGTTCTACATGAGTGATTTGTATATGGTTTTGCTAAGAATGTGAAGTGAGTATGGAGGTAGTTCTTAAAAGTGAACATTGTCCCTTAAGTTGAAAAAATGTGGCATGTGTATAAAGCTCTCTAATAGCCCTCAAAGAGAAGGGGGGGGGGGGGAAAGCAATAAAAAGGGGGAAAAAAATAAAAGAGAGTGGCCACCAAAAATATAATAATTGTAGGATATGCTCTTAGAAGTGTTTCTTAGCATGCAAGCGATAGGAACACTTACATGATTGTTTATCTCCTTGATAGAAACCACGATTTATGTTCTTTCTGCATTTGAACTTATTTGTTAAATTATTATTGTTGGGGAATTTGTTTTGGAGTATTTCGGAATTATTGTGGTTTATTATATAAACAATTTTTAGTTCTAGGGCAGAAGGTAATCAAAGATTAAACCTAATTATGTTTCCTAATCTCTCCCTCTCCTTCCTCCCTCTAGCCGAACCCTCTCTTCTTCTTCTCTGCCACCGCCGCAACCCTCTTCCACTCTTCCCTCCCATTTTTCGAACTCTTCTTCTCCTTCTATCCTACCAAAAGCGATCACCATCTCGGTGATTGACTCCATTTCTTCCAATCTCTAGTAAACTCGATAGAACCTGATAACCAGGTTTCTATCATTTGGTATCAGAGCCCCGTTACTGATCTAGAACGAGGAGTCCAAGCAACGTAACAATGATGCAGACCAAGTCCATGACAGCTATGGAGAAGGCCGAGAAGGCCGTGCTTGAAAAGGCTGGCGAAGCAGTGCCAAAAACCACCGTTGCAGGAGGAGCAAAGGAGGTCAGGACAAAGGTCTCCCTCAGGAGGAGCCGCCGCGAGACGCGGAAATGGAGGATCTGACGAACAACGAGGCTCTCAAGGCCTCGTTTCGGAACCTTGTAGAGGCCCAGTTCGAGCTGCAGGCTAAGGCCGCCGCGGCCAAAGAAGAGAGAGATGTGATGATGAAGATCCTACTGGGGGTCCAGGGGAAGCAACAAATGATAGAAGCCTTCCTAGGGTTGTCTGAGGCTGATGAGGAGGAAGAAGCGCCGACTGGGGTGAAAGAGGCGGCAATCGGGACGAGGGAGAAGGTGACGGCAGGGTCGAGCGCCGCCGAGCCACTACCGGCAGGCGAGGGAGCACCACCGAGGAGCCACTGGGGGACGGGGAGCCCGACGGCGGCGACACTTGGCCACAACAGAGATTTCCACGAGCAGCCGAGCCAGACAGTGAGCGGGCCCACGGAAGCAGCGGGTCTGTTGCTAACTCCGACAGGGTAGGAGATCACCACGATCCGCGAAAATGAGAAGATGCATTGCTACGATAACATGGGTCGTTATTGGGATTATGGGCCGATGGGCTCAAAGGATTAGATCGAAGGCCCAAGGCGAGCGGGAGAACCCAATGGGCTCGGGTGGCTGGGTTCGGAGCTGAGTCCTGAAGGGTGCGAGTTGAGCCGGGCAGAGTTGGGCGGTCGGAGGAAACCGGTCGGGGAGCCTTGAACCTGGTGGAGCAGACCGGTTGGACCACCACCGGGTCATGCACGGTCTAACCGGGGTCAACCCAACCGAAATGGGCCACCGCGAACCGGCGAGGGCAGCAGGGCCACCTCCCTAGGGAGATGAAAGTCGGGGGCCTCAGGCGCGATGGTGCCTCAGTTCATTGCACCAGGGGTGGATGACGGACCGCATGGGTACGAGCATTATCTCGTGGATGATGGATATGGCTGGGTTCAATCTCGTGATTTGCCGGACTATCGCGGTTATCAGGGGAAGTCAGCAGGAGGTGGTAGGTATGGCGGCTACAAACGCTTCCATGAGGATGAGTATGGGTTAGTGTTCCGAGTCAAACCCCGACCATCGAATTTCCAAAATTCAATGGTCAGGAGGACACCAGACTTTGGTTATACGTTGCTGAGAGATGGTTCAAGAATTACCCAACGTGGGAGGAGAGGAAGGCGCATATGGCGTCTTTCTACTTAGAGGGTGATGCGTTACACTGGTGGGAGTGGTTGGAGAGGTCGTGTGCAGCTGCTGGGACACTGATCACTTGGCTGCTATTCCAGGAAGCTCCATTACAAGTTCGACAAATCCGAGGGCTGGGAACCAGAGCAGTTGGCCAAGCTCCGACAAACCGGGTCCGTAACGGAGTACCAAATGGAGTTCTTCAGGCTAGGGAACCAATGAAAGGGAGTCCCTGAGGAGAGCGTGGTGGGGTTATGCATGGGTGGCCTGAAGCCAGAGATCGCGACAGCAGTCAAGATCTTTGAGCCAGATACTTTAAGGGTTGCTTTTTGTCTTATGGCACAAGGAGGAAGAACTAGCGAGTTGGAGGAGCGTCCGACTAGGTCCGGCCGAGATCGAGCAGAAGAGGCGAGAAGGCAAGTGCTTCACTATAGGACACAAGTGCTCGAGGCCCGAATTAATGATGCTGGTGGGGCGTTGGGAGGTTGAGTCCGAGGATGAAGCGGCGGACAATGGGACGGGCGGTCGGGCGATCCACTAGCAACCTTGAGGTCAAGGTTGTTCTGAAGAAGGCGGGGATGATAGAAACCCCGATTTATGTTCTTTCTGCATTTGAACTTATTTGTTAAATTATTATTGTTGGGGGATTTGTTTTCGAGTATTTCGGAATTATTGTGAGGGATTAATAAGTTGGGGTAGCTAGAGGAAATTGTGGTTTATTGTATAAACCATTGTTAGTAGTGCTAGGGCGAAGTTAAGCAAAGATTAAACCTAATTATGTTTCCTAATCTCTTCCTCTCCTTCCTCCCTCTAGCCGAACCCTCTCTTCTTCTTCTCTGCTGCCACCGCATCCCTCTTTCTCTCTTCCCTCCCATTTTCGACCTCTTCTTCTCCTTCTATCCTACCAAAAGCGATCACCATCTCCGTGATTGACTCCATTTCTTCCAATCTTTAGTAAAATCGATAGAACCTGTTAACCAGGTTTCTATCACTCCTACACTCTTGTACTTGAAGTAGAATAGCAAATGCAGAAAGAAAGTATGTGTGACTTGGTTTGGTGATTGGTTGTGGTTTGGAATTGAGGGAAGTGTGGTTTTTTGCCGTTGTTAGTGGCCATTGAGTATAGGAGAGAGTTCTATCTAAAACCTTAGAACCTTTTGTGGTTTTAGGATGGGAATGTGGAACCTTATGCTATGTTTGCCACCACCCAAAAAGTCTTTTCCCCATGTCCTAGACCCTGGCCAGTCATTTGAACTTGTGGCTAAGACCTCCGGACAAGCTAGCAATGACACCTATCTTGTGAGCTCTAACATTTAGAGGCTATCGTCATGGTAAATGGATGTTAGGATTGAGCGTGAATATGAACATTTTTTTTTTGCATCAAATGGTCCTGACCCCACTGGTCGAGAGAGTGATTCATTTATCATGTTTTGTTCATTTCTTATACCACGGTGAGGACCTAGGTTGCTCGTTCGTTTCTATGATGTGATATTCATGCATGAGTATTTGTGATTGGTGAGTTGTCGAGGCATGTTTTGTGTTGGTTGATGAATAACGTGAGAACTCTTCATTTTCACTATCTTAATACAGTTGAATGTCGTTTATGGTGGTTGCCAAGCTTACTTTGTTTTTGTCCATAGATCGGTGTCGAAATAACCATTGTGATTCATTTGTTTTGTGCCCTATGACATGCCTCAAAATTTGTTTTGCAAAAGAAGTTGTAAGCTTACCTTGTTTTGTACTTGGTTTGCTTGGGGACAAGCAAACGTTCAAGTGTGGGGCTGTGATTCGGGCACAATTGCACATATTTTAGCCCTCATTTCTTGATTGTTTGACTTCTTTATCATCGTCCCTCGACCTATTTTACGCTAGGTTTTGCTTCTTTTGTCACATTCCATGTCCTAGTAAGTGTGGGAAAGTCCGGGACGAGTTTTGGGTCATTTGGAGGTCAAAAAGCGCCAAAAAGTGAAGAACAGTCAAAGGTCACGAGCATAGCTCAAATGTCATGGTCGCCAGACTGTGACTATTTCTCTTTTGGCGTGACATTGACAGTTTCCAGAGCCATTTCGCAAGTCACTAGACTCCAGTAAGTTCACAGCCTCTAAGACCGTGAATTGACTGTCGCAGACCGTGAAGTGGACAAAATGCTGCATTTTGTCCGAGATGAATGTCAAGCCTCCGACTTCACGACCATTAACAGTAACTGCGAAGTCAGTATGTCGGGCAAATATAAAGACAGCAGCGGGGAGAGAGAATGAAGAGCTGGTTTTTGGAGAAAAATTAGATTCTCTCTCTAGGGTTTCGACCCAAAACACCAAAGGGGAGTTTTTGAGTGATCTTGGAGCTTAATTGGAGGCATTGATCAAGCTTAGAAGCAAGGAATCAAGCCTAGAAGAAGAAGATCTCGGGTTCCAATTTGTAATGTCTTTCTTCTCTCTCTAGAAACTCACCCCTTCTCTTAGGTTTAAGAACCCTAGGTCTAGATTTTGGTTTGTTGTTGATGTATGTGACAAATTATATGTTTGATTGATGATTTGACTTAATTGATGGATGGTTTTCATGAATTGTTTGAGTTTGGACTCCTTCTCTTGTCAATTGAGCTTTTGACCTAGGAGGGAGAATTGCCTGGGTCACTCCTATCGTATATTGTCCAGGTAATCCCCGAGGGAGTTGATTCGATCTACCTTCTAGCAATATATGAAACCCTAGGTTGAATAGAGCACCTACCCATCCACCAATTCGTCGTTCCGGGTCATTCCCAAGTGAGTCCATCTCCTAACGGTAGAGTATTATTTTGAGTCGATCTAGGTTAGTGGTTAGTCTAGGTTAGTTAGTTTAATTTTCCTAATCACTACCCCAGATTGGCTAGATAACGAACCCTAAACCTGAAGCTGAAGTAGGGTAAGCCTAGAATATCACATTGGTACGATAAATTCTTATTGCTTGCTTGCCCTATCTTACACCCGGTCGGCGATTATACTTTACCGTCTATCAGGATGTGTAGTTAGAATCGAGTAAGCATCCAAACATCACTAAACTCGCTGAGAAACAGATCCATCAGAGCCGGGGAATTACATCTACATATTGACATTAAAGAATTTAATGCATGATTTACTAGGTGGATGAGCCTTTTTTAAACTTGAATCATACATGGAGCAACAAGGTGAAATTAATATGGATGAAGTCTTCTGATGGATGTTGGTGGTAAAAGTCAACAAGAAGGTACAACCGATTTTAGTGCTCTCTTCTATTTGATTTTTTTTAAAGACTCTTCTATTTGATGTTGATTGAATTTGTGCTCCTTTATGGTTTCATGTTTAATTACTCAAAGTGTATACACACGACCCATTTATCATCAAGAAAGCACCGGAGGAAGTCATATTGCAAAACAAACGTCAGAGAGGTAACTGAGGTGCAGATTTCGTAGTCCTTTGATTAAAGGGAATCACAAGGATCCTCCCAGATTGGAAAGGGCGGACTTCAGAATTAGAAAAGCGAAAAAAAAAACCCTTCATCTGATTCAGGGAGAAGTAGCAGTTCTAAAATTTTAAGCTTTCCCCTGACGATTAACCATGTTTATTAAGTTGGCATTGGAGGATCAGAAGACCAGTGCATTGTTATGTAGATAGCCTTTTGAGTGTGTAATGGTTACCACAAAATTTTCCATAGGAATGAAAGGTTATAATATCGTGTCATTACTTAAAATTCGGTTTATTAATGGTATAGATGGATATATCTCGCTAAAGAGTACTAGAAGTATAGTATACTCGAGAAGTACACAAGTCAGACTCTACTAATTGCATATATTATCTTATTTTAATATTATTTTTTAAGGATGATATTCTATCAATATACTATTGAATAAACAACATTTGTTACTAAAATGCACTACGCCTAGTAGTCTATGCAATTTCCAGTATAACTTTACAAATTATGCATGTAACAAAGCTAACACGAAATCATGCAAACTATTCTATCTCGATGTAGAAAAACTAATCCAAATCACTTAAAAAATAGATTAGGAATGCCAATATAGTTGCACTACAAAATCAATAGGTATTGGAGACGAAAAATATTGTCACAAAATGACTTTTTGCCTTGAGAAGAATTGGAGAAGAAAACCATGGTCGTTTAGATGAGGAATTGTAACGGATCAATTTGACAAAATTGTCTCGTTTTGAGACAATTGTACCAAATTGCCTCGTTTGCCAGCAAAAAATTTGGATGGATCAATCTGCCTGAGGTATTTTGAATTGATCCGTTTTGAGTCAATTTCAATTACCTGGGGTGGGGGAAGGTAATTCGAATTGCCTCGT